CAATACAAAACATTTTTATCACAATAATAATTGGAACTAAGAGATAATTATCTGCATGTAGTCTTATACATGAAGAAGGTATTAATGGAAATTTATTTGTATTATAATTGATGAAGACAAGAGTTTATCTGTAAAAAGAGAAAGACAAAAAAGGGAGAAACAAACATCACATGTTAATCGAAGTAAAATAATCACTGATTTACTCTACATGTTACCTTATTCTTGAGTATAGCCTATACACAGAGAATATTATCATGAAGAATATTTTGTTTTCCTTCAAGATATTATTAGACAACCTCTCTGTAAACAAGTTCAGTATAGGAATTCACATTTATTGGAGTCATATAAGAAACTAACAAAAGTTTAGTCCACTTTTGATGACACTTTCAATGTATGATGCTGCTGATCTACCGAGAATAAGTCCCGCTCACAACGCAATTGACAATGCCCAATATGCAATCTACAGTATACTTCTCCAAGGGTATATTCCATAGAATATCGAGGAACTAACTCCTCAGTAAATATTCATGATTAATATGTAGAAATAATGAATGCCAAGAGATACAAATTCAGGAATCTTCTTTCCCAGGGACTATAATTATTTTAGACCTAATCAGCAAGGCCAGGGATTAAAACAGAGTCTCCATAAATGCTAGCAATTAGAACAATCATGAAAAATCTCCAGTGTTGCTAGAAACACTGGTAGAAATATTGTTCTTCCATAGAGACACTGATGATGTTATAAATTCTCTTATTGCAATTAAATGGTAAAGACTTCTATGAAATAGCTGAAATTTCCCTTAAGGAAACATTCTAGAATCGCTTTTTCCTTTTTCCTTAGGTACAGATTTGTCTTGTTTCAATGTATTTCATTCAAAAAATACTGTAAATACAAAATAGTTCTTCTAAACAAGTTTTATGTTTTCAGATCCAGCTCTAACATTCATTCTCTATCAGGGCAAATGCACTCAGTGGCATAATAACGCTTTCACTTTGAAAAGAAATGCTGATTTCATTAGTCAACAAAGCCACAACTGATTTTTTTTTTATTTACTTCTTCAGCAAAGGGGAAAAACAAGTATCACTGCTTTTATTTCACAAAGATGATGAGGAAATATTTTTTAACAAGGCACCAAAATTAGTTATAATCTCCAGAATTGTTATGGCAATGGATAGCAAATATAGAATAGTGGTTTTTGTTAATATGAGAACAGTACCCCATGGGAGCACAGATACTGTGTCTATGCTTTCAGACTGCACATACTTTATTATTTTGTTAGGAAGTGTATTATAGTTTAATTAAAAATACACAAAATCATGCATGCACAATTTTATCTCGTATTTGTCCCCAAAGTATAATGTGACTCTGTTTAATAACAATACAATAAACTTTAATATTAAATAAAGTGCAGAAATGTATCCAATTATATTTTGTTTTATCTTCATTCCAAAACACCCCCATTACACTAACAGAAAAGCAGGAACCAATATTTTCTGTTTTTGAATAAACAGTGTATTTTGAATTGCTTCAAAAAAATTCACTTTTTATGAAATAAAAGTGAAGCAGAAAGATAGAAATGTCGTATTAACCTACATTTTTCTATAGTTCTTGGCTGATCATATAGGCAAATATACTAATCATTTGGTGCAGAAATCAAGAAATAGGTAAATAAATTTCCTTTTCAGTTATCACATAACAAAGATACAGGTACTAAGACAAGGCTGGGAATTTTCTGATATGCAAGACATACAGTATAACTAGAGATTGATATATTGAGGTTTGGTATTTTAATAACAAAATAATGAAGAACTTGAGACAGTATGAATAATTGTTTTAGATAAAACTTGTTCTTTTCCCTTCCAGAAGTCATGAAGATTGCAAGTGGGTTTCCTAATGTATTTGGCAAGAATTATATATGTATGTCATTCTTTAATCATTCAATCAAATCATTCTGCTAATTCGTTCTTGCATGAAGATTCAATCAAATCATTCTGCTAATTCGTTCTTGCATGAAGTCAGACAAGAGGACATTGGTTATACATTAGCTAATCCTAATGTTTCTCTAGCAAAAAAACTCAAAACCCTTGAGTCCAACTCTAGGAGCTTGTTAAGTATATTTACTTTATGAAAGGGATGACTGCTGCTGAGGCACATTTACAATATATATATATATATATATATATATATATATATATATATATATATATATATATATATCTGTAGGGAACTAGTCTCTACCCTAAAGTACTAGAATTTCATGATACTTATAAATACGGACATTTTGACACAAGAATTCTTGGGCATCTAAATTCACTTGTCCTTTTGAGTTTCATGAAGACGGCAAAAATATCCCAAGAGATTTAAATATATATTTACAATCTAGATAATAAGCCAGAGATCCACAAAATCTGGGAAGTTTTGTTGCTATAAACAACTAGTCAGTAACAGAGATGCCAATTATCTCTGATAACCTTTTAAAGGGGGAAGGAACTACCTTAATTTCATTGTTATTCTTTTATCTTTTAAAGTATGATGAAAAAGCATATTTTTTAAAAAAAATCTGGTTCCACCAGCTAAGTACAGCACACCAACCTTAAGAAAGGTTTGAGAATAAGAAGGAAATAACTATTAAGGCAAATGAATTAGAATTAATATAACGTAAAAATTAATATTATGGGTTGAATTGTACCTTAGTCCTATTTTGTCCTTCCTTTGTCCTTTGTCCTGCGTGGTTGGATACTTATTATATCTTAGAACAGGGGTTCTCAACCAAAGCTGGCTGAGGAATTCTGGGAATTGAAGTCCACAAGTGTTAAAGTTTCCAAGGTTGAGAACCCCTGTCTTAGAAGATGAACTGTATGTTAAATCTGGAGGATTTATATATTTTTTCTTTCCCGTTTTCCTATTATCTTTAAGTCTCAATTAGTTCCTAATTGTAATTTGCATTATAAGTAACTTGAATATTTTCTGAGATTACAATCTCATTCTAACAGGGAGTGTAACTACCAGCAAGATACTTTCCTATCTAACAAAAACAAGAATGCTGAGACCAACTTTTTAAAAGTAATTTCTTTTTTAATAAAAGGAAGGAAGGTGGCAGTGACCAAGACTCACAGAAGAATTCTGAAATGTACAATAGAAAGATAAGTTAAGGTTCTTCTGGCTCCACCTGAAGAGTCAGAAGGACCAATGCATATTATCCCCATGGATGGATTTTCAAGTGCTCACACCATTATGGAAGTTGGACAAGTGCTTACACTATTACTGGAATATTTTTTTAATACTGTCTCGTTAAATTCTTCAACAATCAAAAATAACTACAGGAATTAAAATTCATGTGCAATTAATATAGTTTTTTCAACAGAGATATAACTAAAATGAAAGTTAAGGAGAAAATGCATGAAGTCTGTCTAGTACAAAGTCCTTCACAAATGATTAAAAAACCCAGTCACATTTTTCTTAATTACCTTCAAAAATCAAGTTAAGTATTTCTAAAACAAAATTTGCTATTAAAATGTATGCTGATCATAATTCAATGTAAACTTTTTCAAAGTGCAAAACTGCATATAATTCAATTTGGTATACTGTTAACTATAATTCAATGGAAAATGAAATAAAATGGTTTCTTGATATAAAAATGGCTATACCACTTATCTAATGCATAGATACCATATTACATTATTATACTTTTAATTCCTTTTCTTTTACTTTTCCTCTGATTTCATATTTAATTAATTTTATCCTTCCCCAGTTTATATTTCAAAAGTGTTCTTTATATAAAATATCAAATAATATTAAAAATATCTTCCATGAATATATTAAATCAAATATAGTTATGTCTTATAACTAGAAGATTTCCTATCCATTATTTCATAAAAACAATGATTAGCAATGACATTTGTAATGCTTGGATATTTTGGACATCATGCATTCTTTTGTATGCATAACAGGAAGTATATAAATGCTGACTTGCTGACATTAGTCCCTCAAGTACACTTTCTTTCAAAAAGCAGCTGTCTGAGATAACTTAAAGGTTAAGTGAAGTTACCTGAAAAAACAAGCAAATATGCCACAAAAGAAGAATCCCTATTATAAATTTTAATATGAAAATTAAATATCTAGCTACCTACAAGGTCTCTTCTTTAAGCAGCAGTTTCTGATATGAATACTAGAAAACCATGCTCAGAATTAAGCATATTCTAAAACAACCTGTAAAGCTTATTCACATTACTAAAACATCTAATATTGTACCTTTGCAAAGAATAATATCACGAATTATATATAGTCCAATTCATGAATTACAAAAAACCGTTCAAACAAGATTCCATTTATAATCTCGATTAATTTCCACAATATATATATTGTACTTTTTTAAAAAAAATCAAAATTCCACATAAATACATGTCAAAAAATTGGAATCTAACCCAACGAATAACATCTGGTTACAAAATGATTAATTCATTAGTAATTAATATATAATCCATATAATATATAATCCATGTATTAAAGCTGTAGTAGAACTCACCTATGATTGGACAACCAACTGAATACAAAATTTGCAGGCAGCACATGAAACACTAATTATACAAACCTAGTAACATTAACTGAATAATTATGCATTTTAACATTTCCAACCTAATTAGAACAAATTTCAGATATATTATGGGCCACATATGCAAAACCGACTCTTTTGCTTCAATGAAAAATCTGTACATCAACAGCACAACTATATATTAGAGACAGATTTTTGTTTTTGTTTTTATCTATAATCTATGATTAATATAAAGATTTATTAATTGAGCATCACTAAAATCAATTTGATTTTCATTAGTTTTTAATTTCCATAGGTCTGTTGTAAGCATGAATGAAGTAGAATCCAATCCTTAGCCATTGATTAACATCTTCAAAATGCACATGCAAACACATATTACATTTATATATACTATATATGCAATTTCATTTTCATACATTCTGACAAAATGAAAAGCAACCTTCTTACCTGAACCCCTTTTGGTCACAACCTTCAAACTTTGAACAAGACTAGCATAGAGGATAATTAAATGAGGAATTGGAACTTTCATCTTCTAGTTCTCCAAGGCTGTTCCCTAAAGCAAAAAAAAGACATAGTTGAAATATGTTATTGGTTTTTAATAGCAAAAAACTTTAAGAGTCACAAAGAGTTTACCACTTGTATTATACTCTATATATTTAAAGAATGTTGGTTATGTTTAAAATCATTTTTAATTGTTTTTAAAATCATAAAGACCCTCTTTCCCACTCAGTGAGTTACAAGTTAAAATTTTTAAACAATTTATAAACAACTTACTTAAATACTATTGTCCCTTTAAAAATGTGTAAAATCTTATTCCTTTGAGAAATGTAAATGTTCATATAGATGTACATATAAGAAGGAAATTATACTTCTTAAAAAGAAGAATGTATTGTATACTATAGCTCAATTTGAACAATGTTAATTGTAACTACATTGCAATCAGTGGGAGTCCATACTGAATTATGGTCCATAATATTATACTTAAATTGAAGTTTAAATCAGTCTGTGAATCAGACTTTTAAGGCAATATTATTCATCTGTGCCTTCCTAGAATGACAATATTAAATTATGCTTAGATTCTTCTTATTTGAAGTAAATTGTAGTCTGATGCAGTTAGCTATTATTAGAATTATACAGCCAAAAATTTATAATATATTCTGAATATTTTCTTCCATATCTATATCTCCCTACCAAATACTGAGGCTGCAATTTGTTGAGGTAGGGAATGGAACACTTCTTAACCTGACAATCGTGAAAGCTAGAATCTAGAAAATATTGGGATGGCAACTGGGTGTCTGTGTGTTCATGTGTGGCTGTTATACATATGTAATTCCCTACAAATCTTTGCGAAAATGAAGGGTATTCATTACGTGTAAATTCCTATTGAAAACACAGAAGTTGACTAAAAAGACTAAAAAGTTGGTATAAAATTTGGTAGTTGTACATTTATTTCTAGTAATGCTCTACCAAATTTGAGTTCAGTATTTTTTTTGGGGGGGGGCAATTCTTATTCAGTTTTATGATAAAATAATTGCTTTTAATAGCAGCAGGGTTGAATTTAGATTCTGATCTTTTTTTTTTTACTAACCTATGGGTGTGATAGAGGATTGATTCATTCGTTTTCACTCACTCATTCATTCATTCATTCATCCATCTTGTATCGCCAACTCGTAGCATCTATGAATTATATATTAGCACTATTGCTTCAGCAGTCTGCAACTTTTGGCTTCTCACATTTCAATTAAACTTCGAAAAAAGTTCTTCCCCTCAAACCTTTTCTGATCAAGAAGCATACTCAACCAACATGGTTGCAGAACAATTGGAGACATCTCTAATACAACACAGACCAAAGCATCAGCAGCATTTTCAACCACTATGCTTTAAACATTTCGTTTACACTAACCAGATCTAAAAGGAATTCTGAAGCTTCTTGAAGCTTCTTTGGCTTTAAATACTGAAAACAAGTATCATGACTGTGAGAAGGTTTCAGGAAACACGAAATTGCATATCACCTAGATTTCTATATGTGAATGCAGAAAAGGGAACAATAATTGTGCAGTCCAATTACAGAGCAATATGGAATTACCACATTTTGCCAATCTTCATGTTTTGGATAAAAGGAATAGAAATGCACCAAGAATATAAATCTAGCCACAAAGCAGAATCTATGTATTAATGCAACCTCATAGTTGTTATTTTAGAAACAATTAAGACATTAACTTCCAAATATTAGGTACAATTGCAATGAGCAGGAGATCAAACAGATTCCTAACCAACCTAGTCAACAACTTGGAGGAGGTGGAGGAGGGAACTAGATGTAAAGCTATACTGGGTTTAATTCTTACTAATAGAGAAGAAGTGATAGAGAGAGTTGAAGTTGCTGGAACCTTGGGTGAAAGTGATGACGTCATACTGGAATTTAATATAATACAAATACTAGCAATAGTAAACAATACAACCAGTGTCTTAAACTTCAAAAGAGCTGATTTTAACAAACTCAGAGAAAACCTAGCAAAGATTCTATGGATGAAAATCCTAAAGGGGAAAACAACCCAAGAACATGGGAAACTCTGAAAAATGTGATCATAAAAGCCCAGTTCAGCACAATACCAATGAAAAAGAAAAACAAGAAATTCAAACCAGCATGGCTGCACAACGATCTCTCTGACAAACTGAAAGACAAAAAGGACAAATACAAAAAATGGAAAAGAGGACACATAACTAAGGCCGATTATCAGCAGACAACCAGAACATGCAAAGATGAAGTCAGGAAAGCAAAGGCTCAGAATGAACATAGACTTGCAATAGAAATCAAGGATAATGAAAAAAGTTTCTTCCAACATATTAACAACAAGAAAAAAGTTAAGGAAACTGTAGGTCCGCTCAAGAGAGAAGATGGCAAGGAAATAATAGGCAACAGGGAAAAAGCAGAGCTGCTTAATTCATTCTTTGCATCAGTCTTCACACAAAAAATAATTATAGCCCAACAGACCAAAAAAACCCACTGCAAAGACAAACTAGAAATAAAAATTAAAACAAGCAGGAAAATGGTAAGAGAACACCTATCCGATCTTGATGAATATAAATCACTGGCTTAAAACAGTAACTGTGAGAGGGACTTTGGAGTCCTAGTGGACAATCACTTGATTATGAGCCAGGAGTGTGCAGCTGCAGCCAAAAAAGCTAATGCAATCTTGGATTATATAAACATAGGCATAGAATCAAGATCATGCAAAGTATTAATACTGCTTTATAAAACCCTACTAAGACCACATCTGGAATACTGCAGCCAATTTTGGTCACCATATCACAAAAAAGATGTTGAGAGTTTGGAAAAATTCTGAAAAGAGCAACTAAGATGATCAAAGGCCTGGAGACTAAAATATACGAAGAACGGCTGTAGGATTTGGGTTTGGCTAGTCCAGTGGTGGCGAACCTATGGCATGGGTGCCAGAGGTGGCACTCAGAGCCTTTTCTGTGGGCACGCACACCCTAGTCCTAGGCCTTCAGCTGGGTTTTATAAAACCTTTTCATTTTAGGCCTCCATCGCCATGTGCAAAAAAAAAAAGGTTCAATCAGTCAATTTCAACTTCTCACGGGGAACAAAAAAGGTCTTGCAAAGTTGGAATTGATTGATTGAACTTTTTAGTCCCACCCAGTCTGCCATTACCACTGCGGTCATGCCCACCCAATAGGCCACACACACCCAGCACTCGACGATGCATAAGTGGGTTTTGGGTTGCAGTTTGGGCACTTAGTCTCTAAAAGGTTTGCTATCACTGGGCTAGTCTAAAGAAAAGAAGCAATAGGGAATCTTCTTCTAAGACCTTTGCCAGCTCCAACAAAATTTGAAGGGAAGAGTTTAAAAGGTTATCAGAAAACAAACAAGCAAGCAAGCAAATTATTGAAAACAGATTTACAGAGCCCTAAATTGATACTCAGAATTTGTACATATTTAAAAGTGTATTAATAGAAGGAAACCACGCAGAGGTGAAGCAGAACAGATGCAACTAAAGCTATGTCACTGAATATGAGGGCCTGAATTGAATGTTTCTCTAAGCCAGTGTTTCCCAAACTTGACAATTTTAAGGCATGAGGACTTCAACTCCCAGAATTCCACAGCCAGCAACGTTGGCTGTGGAATTCTGGGAGTTGAAGTCCACATGCCTTAAAATTGTCAAGTTTGGGAAACACTGCTTTAAGCCAAGTTCCATCTTTTCAGACACTGCACTAAGTGATGCTGCAGGAAATTTCAATGCTTATCTCTTCAGTCTCTAGGTTACTAGAGAGAATCAGTTCATTGCTCTGCATGATCCTAACAAATATTATCCAAAAGAATCACTGACTTTTAAGTAGCATTTTAAGAACAATAGATAAAGTCTGGCTGTGATAACAGGGCCAACCACAGACATTAAGAGACGTTCCTACAGCAGAAAGTCTTGCCTATAGCTGAAGGAAATGTAATACTATAAAGCACTGACAAAAAAGAAGCAAAGCTATTGAGTCAAAAGAGACACAAAAATAGTAAACAAATATAATTGATAAATTGCAATTCATGCACTCCAAAGTCTCATATATAAATAATGTAAATAATTTGAAAGTGGATATGAGTTTTTTATGGTCAAAAGGTATCATAAACACTATAAGGGGAAAAATAGTAATGAAAAGATAAAAACTAGGGTTGTATATTAGTATAACCAGGGCTTTATTTCTTGTAGAATGCCCAGAATGGAGTTCCGGCACCTTTTTTGGATGGACCCTTGTAGGGTAGGCAAGGCGGGTTGTATGACGTGTGTGAGTTCCGGCACTTTTTTTTTATTTAGAAAAAAAGCACTGAGTATAACTAAATCTTAAGTTGAATTTGGTCACTTCTTTGTTTCTCCAAGGTAAACTATAGTTTTTTCCAAAAAGATTAACAACAAATATTGACCATATCAAACATTTTTGAATACTTTGATGAGTTGCAAAAGAATGGGCATCTTCTAACAACAGGATATTTTTGTTAAGCTTTTACAGAAAATGAAATTATTTTCTTGTTTCAAAGACCAGGACATATTGATCAATCATAATAAAAGTAGCTTTTGACACACTCAGTGTTCAAATTGCTAAATTTTGTCTACTTTTTTTATTATTAGGCAGCAGTTTTTAATGTTTGGGATTTGACTATTAATTATTGATTTTTGTCCGGTTATTAAAAACAGATCATATTTGAATTGATAGGACTGGTTAGAAATGAGTTCATCAAACTGAACACAAAGCCTGGTGATGTGAGCAGCACAGTTGTAAGCATATTAACTCTAAAATTGCACCCAGTTTTGTGTACTCAGTCTTTAAGGTCTTGACAAAATTGTCAGAAAAATGTATTTATATTATTCTGAAAATCATAATTGTATGCTGTAAAAATTCTCGGGATTTAGTTTCCATTTTAAGATAATTTTCATGCTTTAATGAAATAAAATCAAATTGTTATAATTCACACAATTCTGCCTTTTATTAGTGTGTAGACCAGATCATTGGTTTCTTATTTCCTTCCAGGAATATGTGGGCTGAGAT